TCACAAGAAGTAAACAAAAGTAAATGAAAGTAATTTGAAGAGTTTTCAGCAAGCAAGCAAGCAAGCAAGCAAGCAAGCAAGCAAGCAAGCAAGCAAGCAAGCAAGCAAGCAAGCAAAGCAAGCAAGCAAGAAAGCAAGCAAGAAGCGAGCAAGCAAGCAAGGAAACAAGGAAGGAAGCAGGTAAAATAGGATGCGAGAAAGGAAGAAAAAAGAAAGGAAAGGAGGAAGATACCCGTCTAATAATAATTTCTATCCTTTTTTTTCCTTATTTTTCTAAGATAGATTTCTAATTCAAAGCTTCATGCTGCTGTCAAACTCTTTGGCTGAAAGAAAATCATGCTTGTAACATTTAAACGAACCATTGAAAGTGTTTGAACTTAACGTATAGATTCTATACTGGATGTTTAAATAAAAAAACCTCTTGAAAGTAATAAATTGCAACAAACCTCTCCTGGTTTTCGACTCATTGATGTGCTTTGGCCAGCTTAGTACGATATTGTCATGTAGTTACTTTCTGAAATAAAATAAGAATAATGGGGGAAATAATCTGGTTGCCATGATTGATGGTTGGGTTGGTCGAATGGTTGGTGGGTGGGTTGGTTGGTTGGTGGGTGAGTTGGTGGGTGGGTGGGTTGGCGTGTGGGTTGGTGTGTGGGTTGGTTGGTAGGTTGGTTGGTAGGTTCCTAGTTAGGTCCCCCGGTGTTTTACCTTCCTATGGGAATTATCAGTGAGCGAAGTTTCTCTTCACACAGGCTGCGCTACGAATGAAGATGCTTTTCGTGACCAAGCGTACTTTATAAGGAAGCTTTTGTTAACCTAACAATCTTCAATTTCATCGACACCTGAAACAACCTCTGCAAGAACTGATCTAAGTCATGGCACAACTAACTCACAGATCGAATTGGAATTTAGCTTCCCTTTTGCAGAGGCAGGAAAATCTGAGAAAAAAGCCTTGAATCAAGAGCAGAGACATCTAACAAACCCTACTCACACGAGATGCCGAATTCACTATCACTACGCCATATATTCTTCCTTCCTGCCATGCACTGGATTCTTTGTAAATTGTGTCGCAAATTGTATGTAGCATTGCAGCATCACACCTACAGCGCAATTTGAGAAATCTGTTGCGAGACAAGTTGCAGCGATCGTTGCAAAAAGTAGAATTTGTTTCTAGTTTTGACAACGATTGCGTTTCCGTCGCGCCGTCTAAACACTCTTGTAACTTGAGTCGCAACGCTTTTGAGAGAATGACAAGTTGCAGAGAAAATTGTTTCGTGTAATCGCTCCTTTAAAAAAAGTTCTCTAGAAAAGCAGTCAAAGAAATTTAGAATAGAAAGATTTACTATTTTACCGGTTAAGTCATACTTTTCCCCTTCGTAATTTTATTTAAAAGCATTCTATCGAAATTGTACGATCGTCGTTTGATGAGAGAAATTTTCATTTTCAGTTGAAGCATGGCGCACCTACAGTCGTGTCCGCTGCATGACTGTTTGCAAGATAGCCTAATATACTACAACTACCAGAATTCTTTGCACACTTTCTTTTATCAGTTTATTACCTCCAGTCGTCTTTATGTAAATTCATGATCGGCGAGGCTAGTGAGATTTAGAAAGCTAAGAGAAAGCTAACCGAACCTTTCGTGCTTGAATAAGGACTCATTTCTTGAATCRAGTTCAATAGCCATCCAGGGCAAGACTTGAACACAAGATATGCGCGCTTTCTGTGTTTGGAACTTACCGGCTTGGAGCTAAATCAGACTTGGCGTTGAGCGAATCCTGACCCCACAAATTTTGGGCTGATTTTGGAGAAAAAGATTTCGGAACTCAAAACTTACTTCAAGACTCTCTTTCATTTCTCTGAGTAATACTTGAGTGGTTTCCAGATGATTTCACTGACAAA